CAGGCAATTCTGCATCGCAGGACGACCCAGTTCCAGCAAAATGGGTAAACGGAAGTCGACAGGAAAGAAAAAAAACCTCTGGGTAAAGTCTATTCAAAATTAGTCATATGAAAACAGAGCAATTGCTCACAGCTGTCTTCTTGTAAAGCTAAGGAAAAAAATCAAAAACGCTTGATATTCATTTAAAAATGCAAAAGCGATAATCTTCGAACAAAGATTTCATTCCAGTTAGTTCTACTCTGCGCTCAAAACTTGTATAAAAAGCCCGAAAAAACTGAACTGCCTGTTTTAATTTCCGTACAGTTTCGAATAAAGCACAAAAAAAAGTTGATTTCATAAAGCAGCTATTGTTTTACAAAACAAGATGGCCGTAATTAACTTTAGCAATACAAGAATGGATGCTATTTATAGCCGAGCAACTATGACGAAGTTATTAATCGATAAAGCAATTCCTTCAAGAGGCCATTTCAGAATCTCTCTGAAATAGAAAAAGATAACTGGAACCACCTCAATGAGATAACCGAGCAAATCGGCATGCGGTTCGACCTCCGTTTTACCAACAAGGCTTCTCATCATGTCAAATATAAGCGCTTTTTCTGCACAGCCAATGAAGTCAAACGACTGCTGCCGAATTTGTTCGTTCAGACCCATGCCAACCAAATACAGTACCTGAAAGAAAGGTCGCAAAATTTTTGCAAGTATAAACCCTTTCCACCTTACAGGCTTAAGGAAAATAAGTTAAATTCTGCTACCGATGATGCCAAAAGTCCAGTTTATCTTCACTTTACAGTACGGCTCCACTGGACAAATTTCAAGCCGAAAAAAAACAGGATTCCCACAATTTCCTGCGCAAATGTGTTTCTATGGGAAAAAGCTGCGTTGCTTTTTCTTTTTCGAAAAGCTCAAAACTCATCTTAGCCAACGCAGTCCTCCTTTAAAAGGCTTAAAAGGGAAAAGCTTACGCGATGCAATAGGCCATCACTTGCGTAGCGACTCCGTTTTGCTACGCGGCACAGAACAACACGAATCAGTTGCATCATCATTTTTGAGCAAAGAAGATTAATGATCGGTTCGAAAAATGGCTCAAACTGTGGTGGCATTGGTGGTGCAGCAGCAATTACTTCTCTGCAAAAAGTATTAAAATACTTGGGCAAAGTAAAATTAAGATTTTCACAAAATTTTACTCAGTATGCTTTGTAGCACGACTTTTAAAATATCAAAATTCTGTGCCCAATTCATATTACCAAGCGCAGCAAGCACGGCATCGACAACAGTTTCAACGGCAAAACCTCCTCCATCGAGGTTTGCTACGATTCCTTTTTAACCTTTCTAAACTTTTTACCCACGTCTTCTGCATATTCTCCCACCTCTCCCTTCCCCCTTTTCATCAGTTTCCATCTTTTTCCCTTTTCTTCCTTCTTTTTTCTGCTTTTCTGACTTCCTTTACTCTCTTTCCTTCTTCTTCCTCTTCTTTCATCTTCCTTACGCACTGCGATCGTCATACTGACGAGGTCCAGTCGCAGTGTGGAGTTACGACATATATGACTTAATGGACCGAAACGTCTTGTCTCACTCTCACCACCAAACTTCATTACTTTCCCTTGCATTTGCGCATCCCACCAAAACCCTCGAAGCTGCAATTTACTTGACAAGTGCATGCATTCTGGAGAAAGCAGTTGGAATGGAAGCAAGTGCTAGCATCAAAGGAGCTACCGATAGGTCTTACAAGAACACTTGGAAGCAAGTGTTCTTGTAAGACCTATCGATGGCTCCTTTTTTTCCAAAAATTGCCCGGATGCGAAACAGTAATGGATTTTGACCCTTTGGAATGCAAAAGTACCAATTTACCATCGAAATGAATGAAAATATCGAATAGGATTGGTTCCTCTCCCATCGGCACGAGCACAGTGCTACCTACCACTGCTTTATTAGAATAAAACCACACGCTGAATTTGTGAAGCCAAAATGAATTGCAAAAGGGTGACATATTTGCATTTTCAGTGAAAAATTTTTATCAGTGCTCAGGATAATTAGGCCTATTGAAATACTGCAAAAATATTATTTGAATATTTTTTCCTAAATTTGCAAAGAATTTCATCCAATTTCAAGGTCCAGCCGCCTTGATACTACACTTTATTCACTATATTCTTTCACTGGTCGAAAGCGTGAGTTATTCTGCAGAAATGCAGGAAGAATAAATGGCAACGCGCACCAGACTAGCCGGTGCGATCATGCGTTTTGTGCAATTC